GTGAAAAACTGTGTAACTTGTAACAATTTACATTGGATTTAAAATATGACCAAAGGCAGGGTCAAAAATGGAAAACAGTGCACTCCCCTTCATATTTAAGTTTATGCTGACCTTTGGAGAAGCAAAAATGCTGTAAGACTGATTTCTTCTCTGTTGTAATATGTTTGTTATCTAGTTAATCTAAAAATAATGACTTTATTTCAAGTTCTGGAACTTTAAATAATTCACATATGGATTTAAAGTTTCAATTCATACTGATTCTTATGTAAGAAATGTTTCAAACAATTCTAATAAAATGACCCATAGGATTTGGTTCATCATGCCTTCTGATTAAAATGTTCAAGGTGTCACTTAAATATTAGTTCTCTGCTGTCACCAGCATGTGACAATATTTTGTTAAATATTTTATATGTATTTATCAGTAAAGATGATAAAAATGTTTTTTCACTGCTCTTTCAGGCATGTGTGATTTAAGAAATACCCCCACAAAAGTTGAATTTGATCATTTTGAATTATCAAGTGAAAAGGAATTTCAGGGAGAGTATTTTGTTCCAAATAGAGCACATTCATACTGTAATTATKGGTACTTTTTACTTATGTTGCATTTTCCGGGATTCTATAGTTGATTACTATATATTTTACTAAAAATGCTTGTGGGGGATCAAAATGCTATCAATTGAAAGAAGCAGGATTTCTAGAGAAAATTTATTTCAGTCACTGTAACAACAAAGATAAAGAAAATTGAAAAGTTTTATTGTATATATTTGATTTTTACCACATGATGTTTTGATATACATGTATGTAGTGAACTGATTGATCAAGTCAAGGAAATTAGCACTCAGTCATATCATAGAGTTACTTTTTTGTAGGTATTGGTGGTGAGAATACCTAAAACCGATTCTCTGGTCATATTACTAGTATTTAGTTAAATATTTTTAATCATTAAGTTATAATTCTCGTGATGTGCTCATATTTAAAGATAAAGCAATTTTAAAAAATGCATTTTGAATTGAAGGAAAAGACAAGATTCCTTTGGTTGACAATTTTTAATTAATTCCAGAGAAAAGATAAATACCCTCACACAAATCTCTGAGCCTTTCCCTTTTATTTCATGTTCACCCATTTCTTGAATACTTCCTTTCTCCTTGACTTTTTTAAAACAATTGATAGCTTTAAATTTTTTTTCTTTAAATCAATGCATTATGAGTACACATGATACTGGGATTTTACACAGACACACATATATCTCAGTTATATTCTGCCTTTTTTTTCCTTCCTCTTGTTTTTTTTTCACTCACCGCAAATTCTCATTTGACTTGATCTTTTGAAGCTCTCCTCTTCTTCCTTTCCTCTCTTATTTCTTTTAAAACTTTTATAGAAACAGTCTACAGGAAAATATATTTGCCTGCAGGATGAAAATGCCAACTGTTCTCTAATCACTTAGAGTGCAGTCCTTCATTTTCTTCACTGTTGTTCTACTTGCTTCCTATGCACTTTAAAATATTCACTGAACTTAATTCTATCACATAACACAAACTTTTCTGACTAAATTTGCTAAAAATTTCTTTTTTGTCTCACTCAATTATCTCTTTTAGTTCCTTTTCCTACTAGCTTATTTATTGTGATTTTTTTCCTCAATTCTTCACTATTTTTTATTGATTATCTTTCTACACTTCATGTTCAAAACTCCCAGATTTCCAGTTCTCCCTTACTTCTCAGGTCAGTCTACTTAGTAACTTTTTTCTGTTCCTTTTTTTGTTTCTTCTTCAATTCAGGTTTCTGATTTGGGAAAAGCAATGAGTTTATATTAAATGAAAATAGGCTAATTGCCCAAAATGGTAGAGATTGGAGCAATTATGTGGACAAATGGTCAGGAACAGAAGGGCATCAATCAGACAATCAATAGCAAAGAGCATCTCCCAACACATCTGAACATCTCAGTATTACCAGTGTGGACCACAGATGTCAAAACTTACACTTACATTGCCATGGCCATAGATGCAGGATGCTTTTGCTGGAGTCTTGATACCTTTGCCTTTGCAACCCAAATTCTCTTTTGGCATGGACCTTCTTCTCTCCATACTCCAAGTCATATGTGTATTTCACTGGGAAAACCTAGACTGAGTCACCTTTACTAGGGTGATAGGGTTATGATAAAGTGGGGTTCTGGCCATTTGGGCTTCTTGAAAATTACCTCTGCCCACCAGAAAGACTCACAGAGTAGGAAAAGGGGTTTGGATGTGGGTATCTAATAAGTGAYATCTATCCACATTATTACCTATTTAATATACCTTCCTCTTTATATTTTTTTCTTCCTTGCCTTTTACTTGACTACATTTTCTGATGAGTAGGTTACCCATAACTGTGACTCCAACTACCAGGCCATTACTTCAATTAGTATATAGTAAACTCAATTCACTAAGTTAATCTCACCTGATGGTTGAGAGGATGCTTCTTCCATGAATTTGTAGATGAACTTATGTTCTTCTTCTTTTTTTTATGATTGTCTTCCTAGATACCAACTCATTGCTCTCTCCTTCACTAACTATGCTTTAATACTTAAACTATAATAGAGTCCTCTACATCCTGAATACTTTTGAATATCTTCTTCATTCTTCTAATTACTACATAGATCATATCACATATAGACTAGGAAATACACTTTATGTTTGCATCATCAGAGGAGTATTTTTAAGGTATAGATTCTTAACAGATTCTTCAATCACTGACTCAGTTTCTGTAGTAATGTCTCACAACCTATCTTCTGTAAAGATGCTCATGTAGTTCAATGAGATGTATTATTTGCTTTGGTTTTCCCTGGATAGTAAGTAGTAATAGCTTCCAAATTAGTGTTCCTGGATCCATGGTCTCTTTTGTATGGCCACTTTGTATACTACAAAACATTGAATTTAGAAAATATTTTATGACCTCATTCTACATCTTAAAATATCCTAGTACAAATGCATTGCCAGAAGAATAAAGCTCAAATTGCTTCAGATGACATTCAATTCATTTTATAATCCAGACCATTCATACAGATTTTTTTCTAGATTCTGAACCATGTCCAGGACACAGAATTTCCAACCATATTCAGTACTTCCTGATTGATTTTTTAAAAGCTTAGAAGGCCTTTGACATTCTCTGAAACTGTTACTTCATGTACATTTATTGAAATGAACTAATTATAATTTTTTTTACTATTTTTCATTCTCAAAAAATGATTTTCTTGTATGTGGAAAGGAAAAGTTACTCTTAAAAGTTTATGATTTTTCCTTTTTACATTGGTTCTTTATTAATATACAATAGAATATACTATGACATAATTATAAAAGCATGAAATATAATTTGTTCYAATTCAGTCCCCAGTACTTCTCCTTCCTCTCCCTTCCTTTCACATCCTCTTCCTTCCCTTTACCCTATTGATATTTTTACTATTTACTTATAGTTTTTATTTTTAA